AAACTTAAAAAACTTAGAAAATTTGAAATGTTGCCTTGGCAACTAACTGAAATAAAATAAGTTAAAGTGCTAAAATGCCTGAAATATAAATTAAAGGAAAATAGAAATAGTAAAAAAATTAAGTAAATTTAAAAAATGACAAAAACACTACAAATGTGAAAACTGAAATAATAAATAAAGCTAATTCAAATATTAATAAATAATTTTTATATAGCTAGAATATAAAACATGGACAACTTTTATGATAGTAAGTTATGTTACATTGCAAGTGTAATATTGCTTCTATACAACAGTTCAGTAAACAAGATAAAATTGGGTAACTTACATTTTAGACATGATATTGCAAGTTATTTTGTTTCGTTTTGTCGAAGTCAAACCAAATTTAACACAATGGTGTTTAATTTCTTGAATAAATAAGTGCATTGAATGAATTTTGCATATAAAGATCCCTTGTTTCGTTCATGAATGAATCAGTGGTTTTAAACAAATCGGTTGAATGAACGATTCAATTACTCACTTATGTGTGACTTGTTTCTTTCATGAGCGAATCAGTGTTTTTGAACAAACTGGTTGGGTGATTGGTTGAGTGAATGATTTAATGAGTCACTCATAATAACAGCCAGTTGTTTGAATGAATCGTTTGATTAAATGAATCCACGATTCACTCATAAAGAAGCCACTTGCCGCCACTTAACATTTACTTTGACTACATTTCACCTGATTTGTTCCACAGAAGACATAATGATGTGAAGATTGTAAAAAATGACCATTTTTCATAAGTTCTATGAACTATCTCTTTAAATAAGCTGAAGAAACCCTTTTAAGCTTCTTCTATTCATATCCTGCAATTTAATCAGTTATTATTTAAAGCAGGGAGATACTTTTCAAAGCCAGCAGCATGACAGGCAGATAAAACTAAGTTTGCAGACTTTCTGAGATAAGGATCTAGTCATGCACACATACTTATGGTACAGTCTACCTGATCATTTGCATTCAAAGGCCCCGGTGGGCTGTTACAGGAATGAGAATGACGATAAATACAGCAACGCAACGGGTCCTAAGGGAACAGCCATCATCATCTTGATTTTTATTGGTCTTTCATTCAAGCACCTCCATCTTGCACTCCGCGTGCATTTATTCTTCCAGATAAAGGGCATTCGAAACCCATCCAGACGTCTTCAGACTAAAGCAAATGGGGCTTTTTTTTCTGGACAGCTTGTCAACAAATGTGTAGAAACCCTGCTTGACATGTTATACATTTCTGTTAAAAGTGAAGCGTGTCATGCAAACAGAGTATTATATTATCAGAAAAGCGACAGTTCAGCTTTAACAATATTAATGCTAATATTTGCGTTTTAATACCGCGGAATGTGGATTGATTGAAACCACACTGCCGAACCCCTCTGCAGGAGTTAGCATTGAGTCAATTTTGTTTGTAGGGCACAAATTTAACAACGAACACAATGACTTCTTCATTATTGTTCACTTTAGGTATCGATCTGCAATCGCTACATTCGAGGAGTTCTTTGACCCCTCGAAAGCTTCAATAAACCCCTGTTGTTCCAGCTCTGCCTCAACAGCGCCAGGCATCTCCTGAAACACTGATAACTGGTAGCCGGCTCTGTGATATTTCACCAGGGATGCTGAGAGAAACGGGGACCTTGTGGCCCCAATCGTGCTTTACAGCTCGAGCTAACAGTGCTGTAATGAACCTCCCCCTATCGCCCCTTCACCCATCTACTCCGCTCCACCTGCCTCACACACGTTAGGTAATGAACTGACGGAACACATGTGCATAAAGCTGTCGCAGTACATCAGCATGCTACAGGAGGGGCCTCTGCCCTCTGCATGCATTAAAGCAGCCTGACTGGTCAGCCATGTTATAGACTGCTGGACTCTCACAAGTCTATTTGAGATTTATTGGATGCTAAAGGCAGCAACAGAAAAAAAAATCCAATCTGCAGAAGCTTAGTCAAAGACGATAATTGGCAGTTATTCTGCTGTGGAAGGCTGCAAAATGTAATCTAATGTAACTGTCTAAAGTCTAGATGAAGAATACATCATGTCCTTTGCAGAGAAGAAAGTTGAACATAAAAGCATTCGCAACCCATTTTACTTTTATAATGTTATGTATTTATGAGCGAAATTGAATATTCTGTGAGAAAAATATGGGTAATTTGCAAATTGGATTGTGAAAAGTGGGCATCACATAAAAAGTAAGGTTTTATTAAGCTAGAATGAAATGTATTATACTTTAATAAAAGGTTACAAAGAGAGGTTGCCATGTTATTTTCACCTATATAAATTAGGAAAGTAAATGTGATTCAAATAAAAGTAATCATATTTCAGATGGACGGCTAATAAATTGCAATACACAAAATACAGGTTCTTTATTGGCATAAATGGTTCCATGAACCTTTAACATCCCTGGAACTAATCCATTGCACAAAAGGTTCTTTAAAATGAAAAAAGATCCTTCAGATTATTCTTCACACTATAAAAAAAATATATTTTTAGATCGGTTGCCTGAAAGATTCTTTGGGGAACTGAAAATGGTTCCTCTATTCCATTGCTAGGAAAATCTCCTTTTGGAACCTTTACTTTTAAAAGTGTATAAATGCTATTTAAAAAGTATTTTCTGTTCCATTGGTGACAATAATTGCAGTGAGAAACCATTTAAGTAACATTCAATGTGCACTAAATATTTTTCTTAAAAGAGATTTGACATTTGTCAGTGCCAATAGCCTCATTGTATTTCTACAATGGCTTTGGTAAATTAATCTTGGTGGTCTTTTGCATAGATTTGTATTTCAAAAGTCGTGTTTTAGACAAGACAAGCAAAAAAGTACTTAGTGCACCTCTAAGTATAAAAAAAATGAATACAAATGAAGTCAATTTAAAGAAAGTCAGTTTAAAGAATTCACATTCATTGAGCTTATTAGTGAGCGAGGGGTTAGCATCAAACTCATAGCAAATTGTGTAATTTAATTGGCACAAAAAAATACATTAAGTAGAGATATGACTTTAATCTCAAAGACATGAATCATAGAGACAGGAAATGCCCCAAATGAGTTCTAAGTAACTCTTTGATCTTACTTGACACTTTTGATTATATATTTTCGACATGAGGTCATAAGACCATGTTGACCTTTACACAGGAAACTACAGCTAAAATCACAAGATACATGCACCAGGCCTTGCTCAGGAACCCCCATTTCTAATTTAGATGTACAGCGTCCCACATATGTCAAAATTTCTATGGGTGTTTACATAAAATCCAAGGCTTTAAATTGAGGCTGTTGAAATATTTGGCAGGATCTGTTCGAACCAGTGTCTTATTACTTAAGGGCTAATGGACTCAAATGAAAGCATCCCTGGTCGCCTACAAAACCTAAATGGAAGGCTACAGTTCAATAAAGAAGTTCCCGGTCATATTAATGACACTCCTCACATCATAACAGTGGGTGATTTTGCAGCAAATGCATGTCCACTCGAAGCATTTTTCAGGTCAGCTCGAAATACGCATCGAAAACGTAACATTTAACAGAGAAAAACTCTGTTGTTGTATTGAATTGCAGAATGCAGAGATAATTCATCACTTTCAACAGCGCTCACAAGGGAAAAGCGGCATCCAAACAAACTCCACACGGTCCGAAATTAGCCAGAAATGAAAGAGAGAAGATGAAGAGGTAAAGTGACAATGCAAAAAGCACATAATGGCTAAAGCAAGCCTCGTTTCACGGAGTAATATCAGAGAGAAGACAAGAGAACGTTTTTACAGTAATTAAACAGGAACACAAAAAGGCCACAGAAACATATTAGCGAGAGACTAATCATGACAGTTCAATGCAAAGTGATCATTAATAGCAAAGATAAGCTTGTTAGCCTGCCTCGGTCAATATTTATACGTGTTTTCCCCTCTAATTTAGCTTTCATTTCGCTTTGGGCCTGCTAAACCAAGCGTGGGACCAGACCGGTACTGTTTAGAGTAAATAGCAAGAACAGGTTTTGCAAAATGTAAAATTTTATTTTCAAAAATGTAAGCAACAGATTACACAGTTAACTTTCAGCAATTGCAGTCCTAACTTAAACAGTACTCACATTCGGGACTTCAAAATGAAAGACTCACAAACTTACACACTATCTACCTATAATATACAAAAAGAATACAGAATAAATATTGAAATGGCCACAAGAGAAAAACGTAAGTTAATCAAAACAATTAGTAGAGAGCAAATGTTGGGAAAGTAGAAACAAGACGCTGTGCCTTAAATACAATGTTTTTTGTTTTTCCTATTACATTTTTTACAAATTGTGCAAGATTTCAGACTAAGGCTCTGGTCTTGACATGACAGCTGTTTGCCAAGCACGCGCACACACACGCACACTCACACTCACGCACAGACGGCCACGCACACATGCTCCCTGTGTTCTGCGCACTCGGTGGGATGTAGCAAACATTACAGGGTAAGAAATGGGCTGTCGGTGCACGGTCTGTGCCTGTGATAATGGTGGTGGATACTGTTTTTCAAATGAACATGCACTTCGCCCTGATGTGGAAAGCCTCCCGAAATGCCTCAAGGAGACATTTTAGAGGAGCGGATTTATAAAACAACCCTCACCTTGCAAATGAAAACATGAACAAAACACCAGAACCATTAAGGCAAGAACAGCTGGAGTGGTATCTGTAACAAAATTTGCGTGTTCGGGTACATGGATATGCCACACTGAACTTAGCTTAACTGGTTCTCCACTGTCAGTTTAAGTACAAGGTTCTCAAGAGCAACGTTTTGAAAATTCAAACATGAGTTTTTAGACTTAGAAAAATGAGATAAGAAAATAACATTGCCAGACAACAGAGACATACCATATGGATCATAAAACTACAGGAAATAATTTAAGTTGCAATTCCAGAAACCACACAACAGTACCCGCCCCCTTAAGACCCGCCCACCAGCCCGCCCCAACCCCACCCTAAAAGGAAAAAAGATATCACTTACATTTAAACCAATTTATCCTCTCGTGAAGGTGTATTCCAACAGTTAGTCACCCCACATGTTTTGTTTACTTACAGTGAAAGAGAAGTCTGTTGCAGATTAAAGCATTCGTATTTCAGTTTGGGAAAAACAAGACATCCTTGCAATGCAATGGAGCGAGAGAAAAAAACACATCTTCGGGTCTTCTCATTAGTGCAACTTTTTAGACACAAATTCCAGTGATTCCTTAAGGTAACTGTTTGATTTCTTTACACCCTTTCCAGAGTCTTCCAGATATCCAAAGCAAAGGCCAGTTCCTTCTTCATGTATCCATTTTTTCTTTCAATTTTTTTTCTTTTTAGAGATTTTTTCTTTTTCTTTTTTTTTGCGTATTGGGTTTCAAATGGCCTTTCGCATTGGTTGTTTACTAGAACATAAACGCGGGACTTGTCCTCTGTCCATTCATCATCTTATTCCATTCAGATGGTTCAACTACAGGCCTCGAAAAGGGAGTGAGAGGAACAGGAGGAGGAGGAGGAGGAGAGAGCTGTACAATTGAACACATCCCTGATCAACCAGGGCATCCAAACAAAAAAACACATCGGATAAACAAGAAATGCCACTGAACCTTCATATAACACAGTAGGGTTCCCTCGGTAACCTGGATTTTCTGCAGTAGAGGAGCGTGGTGCTGAAGCATCGCCGGAGCTCCCGGTTGGAGAAGATGCAGATGAAGGGGTTGACTCCCGCTTGGGCGAAGCTCATCCACACGGCCGCCGTCAGGTAGCCTCCCGGGATCACTGGGCCTCGGGCGAACACCCTCCAGTAGCAGGCTACCAGGTAGGGTCCCCACAGGCTCAGGAAGAAGAAGGTAATGATGTAGAACATCCTGCTTATCCTCTTTTCAGTCTTAAACTCGTCCAGCACCAGCAGACGCCTGCGGCCCGCCGCATTGCTGTTCTGCCGGATTCCCAGCAGGGTCGGAGGCGTGGGGCCCCGGCCGAAGCCGGCCAGCCAGTTCGCCGCGGCCTGGCCGCTCGCCCCCGGGCCGTGGAACGTCCAGTTCTGGCTGACTGCGGGCACGAACTGCACCGGCTTCATCTTTCGGCGGTCGTGGACAAAAAATATGAGCTTGAGGTAGACAAGCTGGGTGGCCAAGAGGATGAGTGCAAGCAGCAGCATGAAGCCCAACGAGTCATTTGCGCGGAAGGAGCGGTGCTGGAAGGTGCACTGGTCCTCCTCGCGGATGAAGGAGTACGTGCCCACGTCCAGCACCGGAGGGAACGCCATGGCTACCGACAGGGTCCACACCATGCATATGACGGCCAGGCATGTCCAGAAGGTCAGCCGCTTGGTGTAAAAGCGGTGGTGGGCGATGGCCAGGTACCGCGTCACGCTAACACAGAACAGCATGAAGGCAGTGTGGAAACAGGAGAGCACACCCAAGAAGGCGATCACTTTGCAGGTCAGCGTGCCGTACGTCCAGGCTGAGCCATTCTTGACGGAGGTGAACACGAAGGGGAAGCAGATGGCTGAGCGGAGGATGTCCGAAGCGCAGAGGTCCAGCAGGAAGTAGTAGGGCGCTCGATGAAGGCTTTTGTCTTTGACCAGCAGGATGGAGATCAGGAGGTTTCCGACCACGCCGACGCCGATGATGAAACCCAGGGAGGTCAGTTTAAGGAAAGTGGCGAGCGGAGAGACATTCTGCAAGATGTTGTGGTCCCCTGCATGGCTGTAGTTCGCCATAGATGGAGAAGGGATCATAGAGAATGCTTAAAGCTTTAGCCAAGTATCATGATCTGGATGGAGAGGAAGCGATAGATCCATCTGGTGTGCTTTGAAGCAGGTTCCAGCCTTGTTCGTCGCTGCCTCTCTTCTAAGACATCCTTTGTTCCTTTGTCTCATCACACCTAAAAGGATTCCTGAAAAACACGATCCACCCATTAGGATTCGCTCACACAAAACAAACTGGGGGGCTTTGCGTTGCATTGCTTATTTCTTTTGTCATTGAGATTGCTTTTCTAATTGCATACAAAATTGCGGCTGCAACGGTATGCCGTCTGAGCCGAGCTCATACAGTTGCTTAATTCAACACAAGGATTCGGCGTTAGACACCAACATAAATCCTGGTTAAAATAACAGACCCCCACCCCCAACATCTCCCCCTTTTCCCAAAGCAAATCAAATAAATAACAGCAAAGAAAGAGAGTGCAGTCGACAAGATGCTCATCACCACGACTAGACATCCGTCTAGAGGCGTATTCATCCGTGGTATGATGGAAAAAGACTTGAAATCTAATGAGTGTTATCCTCTACACCCGAAAGTAACATTTGTCGAAATGCAGCAAGAAAAGCTGTTGATCACACCCAAAGATCCTGCAGAATCTGACCGTGTTCATTCCCTCTGTTTATCATGATACTGTGTAAAATCAGTCATGAATCCTTATATGACTGACAGTATAAAGGAATATGAAGAAATGCATCATGTTATATTTTAGATACATATAGGTTATTTGTGTCTTTCATACAGACGTTCAGTGCAACAACAATTTAATGCAAGTCATTTTGGGGAAAAAGCACAAGCTTTAGAATTGCATTTCTATTTTCCCCTCTAACCTACATTTATTGTTTATTAGTATTGGTATGATGACGAATTCGAGTAAAAAAATAAACAAACAATGGATGGCATCTATAAACCGACTCTGTGTAATAGCCTCCCGTTTCTTTCATATTAAATGCACGAAGAGCTTTTCTCTATATAATAAAATAATAAACCTTTGTGTATCCAGTTGCGTTCTTCCAAAAACATCCACCATTGAACATGTTTCAGAGCATTGCATCAAAATTAACAACAGATAGAGGATCTTGTGGGTGTTTGCGTACATTTTAGTACACAAACGGTCTATTTTCCCCTTTGCTTTTTAAATCGGAATGATTTCTGGATGGCTGAGCGTCCATTATAGGCACAGCAATTCCTTCAAATACATGCATGCAAATATCGAGTGCAACAGAGACAGCGCTATAAAATATCAGTTAAAAACATACCTGTTGATATTCCCCCTTTGTTTCCCTGGCGGTTATTTACATGGCAGCAGTCACTTTGCCGTAAAAAAAGGTTTAGTTTTGTTGCCTGCTCTTTTTCCCCCACTGTGATTATACAGTAAACGGTGCGGATGGCGCATGCGCACTGGCGCTATTTGTGATCCCAGCAGCAGCATCATCTGCACTGATGGGTGCAGCAGCATCACGGATCCCTTTTGCCCTTTATCAGAGTGTACTAGTGTCATATGTGCCGTCGCATGTGTTTTAATAAATGTTTACTGTGCATACTGTATTATGTCAGTAGTGCTGTATGTCACTGTTTATATTGTGCCTGTTTTCTTGTGCACTGCAATATCTATCTATCTATCACATATACATAAATAGAAGAGTGAAAATAATATAGTGGGCTTTATGTATTTATTGTGAAGCCACCTTTTAAATCTTTTATTATTGTCTCATATATTGTGTAGGCCTATTACATATTTTTAATGCTTTTGTAGTGCTGTGTAACATTCTGTATTTGACAAACAAGACTTTGATCTTGAACTTATCTAACCAGGGTATCATTACTTTCATTGAGTATTTGAATGTGCTTAGAGAGAGCGAGTAGCCTATATTACATATGGTTCAGCACACACTTGCACAACATAAATAATTAACACGGCCTAACATTGCCCTTTAATAAGAAACAAGACGGTTGTCTCATTCTGTTGCATATTTGGCACTGGACATACAGTGAACCCAAAGGTATTTTTTAAACACTTAGCATTTACAATAAAAAAAATATGTATTTTAAAGCATTCGATAAAATGTAAAATGGTTGCAGCAACCTTTTACCAGTTAGTCCTGAGTTAGAGTAGAATGTAGTAACAACACCAAGGTCCTGGGTTCAATCACCAACGATTGCATGAACTGTTTGCAAAAAAAAAAAAAAGCATATCTTGTGTGCAATGTAAGTTGCTGTAGATGTGTTAAAATGCATACGTGTAAAAAGTTATTCTCAAGTGCATACAGGTGTCCTAGCAAAATAACCACATTAACTATGGATATGATCCGCAAATCTCTGACAACCATGTGTTCAGACTCATTTTTGTCTTCATTTTAAATCTCTACTGTTTTATACTTTATAATTTAAAAAGATAAACATGTTTGTGGAATACTTTGCCTGAAAAGTGACTGTGAAAATAAAATTCCTGAAATGTCACTTATTTTTAAAGTGTATTATCTAATTAAATTACATAGAAGGAATGACTTGAATGTCTAAATATTGTATATCCTGATTTTTTTTTAAAATAATTATTATTTTGCAAAGAAAACAAAAAAGCACTTAACCTAAAATGAAAAATGAGTTTTTCTTATTTGTGTTAGTATAGTGAATAGGATTTTTAATGCATACAACTTCAAACATGTTCTATCCGTTTGCAACAGATGTGTACAGTCTCATACTTGCACACAATTGGCATATACAGTTCACAAAGTTTATTAACAAAAACACACAAAGCAAGCAGCATCACCCTCCTTCTGTAAAGCACATTGACATTGCATGCTTTATATAGACAGAGAAAGCATTAGCCATTTAACAATTAGTGATTTCATCAGTGTTGAAACTGGAAGCAGATTGTCTTGCAGTGACTGTAACATGGCTGGAGACCAACATCAAGTCCACCAGTGTGTTCAAGTCACATGTGTCAGAGAATGTCTGCATGTGATCTTGTTGTCGTGCAGTAATAATCTAATGGGCTTTTTAACGCTGATGCAGTTGTAGAAGTTCCCCACATGGTCCACAGAGACAGGAAGTGTCCAAGTGACTTAAGGATAATGCGTCAAGGAATACAATCAATAGCTCATATTATCCATATAGGTCCTTCCTCTGCGCGCATTTCCAATTATTTTCAGTATAAAGTCTTTATGCACTCAGTCACATTTCCAGATGAGGCCTTGATCGGCATGCAGTCATCAAAACTGGCCGTTTCGTGTGCGTGCGTACCAGCCCATGCACGCACAGATTCCCACGAGCGTCACTGTCGCGCCCAGCAGTAAAGCCGCCGCGTCTCCTCCGTCAAACGCCTCGGCGGTGCGGACGAGCGTCAGGAGGAAAAGGCAGAGCATCATGCGTGTGTTTTGGTCTTTGGGAGCCATGTTGTTGGTCAGTTGTGAGGAGGGAAGCGCAACGGCAATGACGATGCGTCAGGTGACCTCGCTGCGTTTCCTGGTTTTACGAAACCTACTATGGGAAAGGTTTGGT